TAGCCGGGCATGGTGGTGCATGCCTGTAGTCCCAGCTACTTGGGAGGCTGAGGCAGAAGGATCGCTTGAGCCCAGGAGTTTGAGGTTGCTGTGAGCTAGCATGACGCCACAGCACTCTAGCCCAGGCAACACAGTGAGACTCTGTCTCAAAAAAAAAGAAAAAAGAAGTTAAATGTGTCTGTGAGATGAAGGAAAAATATAGGCTAAAATAATGTATTGTTAGAAAAATATTCTGAAGCTGTAATAATATATTTGTGATACAGTTTAGAAAACCATACCATGCATTTAAAAATCTTAACCTCACAGCAACCTTGGGAGTTAAGTAGGATAGGTTTATTACCCTCATTTTACAGAATAGAAGGTTTAGTGAGTTTGAATAAAATCATTAAGACCTTGAAGATTAGGGAAGAATTTCCTAAAAAAGACATAAAAAGCACAAACTATAAAAGAAAAGATTGATAACTACTATAACACATAATTAATTTAAAAAAATGACAGAAGCAGTTCACAGAAAAGGAAATCCAAATGATCTGTAGCATAAGAGAAGATGGTTAGCCTTACCTAGTAATCTGGGAATGCAAATTAATAATAGCGGGAAAAATACCCCCAAAACAATAGTGGGATTCCATTTATCACATGTCAAACTATCAAAAATTAAAATAACTGACCATATTCCATGTTTTCAGGTTTGAGGAGAAATGGTAATTCCAGGGGAAGATCATTTGGTACAGTCATTCTGAGAGCTATTTGGTAGCCTGTTCTTCCTTTTAAGAGTGAAGAATTAGAAACAACTTAAATGTCTCTCAGCAGAGGAGTAGACTAAAGAACTGGTATGATATTGTAATAGAAAAATCTGTAGCAATTGAAAGTCATGTACCGGATCAATATAAGTTATTAAATCTTGAAAACCTACTGAAGAATGAAGAAAGTAAATTGTGCGAACATGTTTATTATAATACTATTTATGTGAATACAAAACCACGTATATCAAGACCGTGTATTTTTTTATGAATATGCATGTATGCATATAAGTGTATTTAAAAATATCCTAAAGGGCTATATCTTAAATTCACGTAGTGGTAGACTCTAGAAAAAATAAAGGGAACTTAACTGGAATGGAATACTGCTTTGTTTTTTTTAAAGTAAGAGTTAAATCAAACATGGAAAATGTTAACAAATTCTGGGTATTAGGTACGTGGAGCATTTGTTAAATTATTGTTTCTTCTTTAAAAATTTCTTTCAAAAAAAAAACAGAAAAGGAAGTTTAATTTGCTTAGGGTTACCAAAAAATAGTAGTTGGTGGAAGAGCTAGTACTTAAAATTAGGACTTGATTTCCCAAAAAAATTAAGATGAAAGGATAAAAAAGGTAGAAAAAATTTAGTTTTATTGTAATAAGAATCAGGAGACATGTTTCTAGTAAATTTTTTTAGGAGGAAAGGAGAGTTTATAAGATAAATTAAAAGTTATTAAATCTTACATTATTTTAAAATCTTTAAGCATACTATCATATTTTTGTATAGAGAGCAACTTAGGTACTAGGAAAAAATTATCGTATAAAATGTGATACATATTTATGTTGCATGTAATGGAAGACATTAGATGATTTGAATTTTTTAAATACAAAATTCATGAAAATAATTCCAAATATACAATCTGACTTTAGTCTATAAAAGTCAAAACTAGTTTTTCTTCCATTTTGTAAAGTCATTCTTCACAAAAACTTTATAGCCTTTTTATTTACAGCTCTCCAAGATAAAATGGCAACCCCAAAAGAGAAAACTCCAATGTGTCTGGTAAATGAGTTAGCCCGTTTCAATAGAGTCCAACCCCAGTATAAACTTCTGAATGAAAGAGGGCCTGCTCATTCGAAGGTAAGGTTATGAGAGAGGTGGTGAGACATGCTTATCAAACTAACAGATTTATCATCTCAGATTTTTATTGCGCTTTATTTTTTGGAGTGGGGGTTCAGTGGATGGCTTTCTGAAGGCTTTTAGCTCTACGTTAATATGTTGAAGTTTATAGCTAAACTATTTTATAGCTCGTTATGACTTATAAAGCTTTTTCAGATAAGTACTTCATACAAACCTTAATAAAACTACATAAGATATAGATGTTCGATTTCACTTTTGTAAATTAAACTCAGGCACAGAAAAATTAAATAACTTGCTTAATAGTTCTTAAGTGCCAGTGCCAGTACTTGAATATGTGTTCTTTGGCTCCCAGGTACAGTGCACTTTCCATTAAATCACAGCTGCTAAAGTAAAAATGGAGACAGAGCCAATATACCAGCAGTTCCTCAGTGAGACATCTTTTCCAATGTCATGTTTAATTCTAAGATTCGTCATTTATGAAAGCTGTTTATACCAGTATTATTGTTATCTGTGCATTCACTTATAATATTGTTCTTTTTAAATGGAAAGCAATTTTTATTTATCTATAGTTATTTATGTATATGTTTGCTATATACATGTTACAAAGAAATCTACAACTACTGCATTTATATTTGAGCTCTATTGATCTGTTTAAAAAGTCTTAGTTGTGTATAATTTTCTGTGGCAAATTGTAAATCTTGGACGTTGGGGATTGTAATAATGCTCATAAATTTTGTATTCAATGTGGAAGCTTTTGTTCTCTAAGGGTTGGTTAATCTCCATAAAGCAACTGACTATCGGGTTGTTTTCTAGCATCTCCCTCAAAGTAAGAAAAATAAGATGAAACTACAGTGCATCAGTTTTGTTCACTATTAGTGGCTTTTATAAAGTAAAAGATTTATGGGCAACAATTTAATTTGTTCATAACATCTCTTATATTCTTGCAGTAGCAGAGAAAATAGTTGTGGCCTTTGTCTACCTGTCCAGCCATGTATCCTGTCTCTTTCTGTCCTTAATTATGTTGAACTGTTTGTATTTCTCAGAATGTTTCATGTTCTTTTCACATTTTTCTGCCATTGCTTAAGTTGTAGTGTCTTTCTGCCTTTAAAGTTCTTTTGCCCTTATTCATTTTTGAACACTTAACTCCCACATGTGTCTTCTAAACTTCTGTGAAACCTTCTCTGATCCCTCTGGGCCTCCGGTGGCACCTGTAGTTCTCAATTGTAGTCGTTACTGTGTTGCAGGGCAATAATATATGTTGGTTTTTACATTTTGTGATAGATTGAGTTTATTCAGGAATATTTTACTCTTCTACATTTCCTGGTTCCTTTAGTGTATGTCCTCTTTGCTCCTCATTGCCAATTCCGGGTATTCTTTCTTGAGGTAATCCCCCAGTTTTGAATTTCATGTTACCAGACTAATTTCCCACATGCCCCCTCATGGCTGTCATTTACTGACTTCTGGGTGATTCCATCAGATTTCTCATGGCTCAATTTCACTTTCTTCAACATTCCTCCTGTTTTAATTTTTGGTGATTTTAATGTCTAAATAGATGATTGTTCCAACATGCTGACCTTTCAGTTCTTTGAACTTCTCCATTGATCTTGTCCTCCATTCTTTCAGTCACTCATTCCTGTTATCACATTCTCGACTTTATCATTACCAATAACTGCATAATTTTATTTCCAAGTATTCATCTCTCTCTGACACTTGCCCCCTAACTTTCTAGTTCATTCCCTCTAATTTGACTTAAACAGTCCTTCATACTGCAGATCCACTTTGTTTTTTTTTTACTATTCCTCACTTCCCTCAGTCCTCATGCAGCCCATTAACCAGCTTAAATTCTACATGCCTTGTATGTTTGTACCGTTAGCTATCTTGCCTCTTTTGGTAGGATACTTGCTTGGCGTAATCTCAGTCCCAAATCTGGACTCTGCCTTCCCTTCTGAATTATGGATGAACTACCTGAGAGCCCAACTCCTTTATTTGTGTTCTGGATCCCAACCCCTTTACACCCATTCAAGGCCATTTCTCCAGCTTTGCTTCCTCTGCCTTCTTCACCCCTCCTCTTCCTTTCTTTGTCATCAATTTCTCCTTTGAATAGATCATTCCCATCAGCACAGAGACATGCTATTATTTTTTCCCATCTTAAAAGAAAATTTCTTGGCTCTACTTCCTCCTGCAGTTTATAACCTCATTTCTTCTTTGCTTTGCAACAAAACTCCTTAAAAGTTGTCTGTACTAGCTGTTACCAATTCTTTCATTTTCCCTGTATTCAGGATATTGTTCCTACCACTCCCACCATTCGAAACTGGTCTGTTAAAAAAAAAACCTGGCCTAATGAAGATCACCAGCTACCTCCTTGTTAAATGATTAGTTGTCAGTACTATCAATTGTCAGTACTAACGTTACTTGGCTTATCAGCTGTATTTGATACAGGTGATCTCTGACCCTTATTGAAATACTTCATTCATTTGGCTTCCAAGACACTGCTCACTGCTTTTCCAATTAATCTCACTGGCCACATTTTAAAAGTTTCTTTTGCTTCCTGTCCCCCCACCCCCCTTATTTCCCAGACCGCTGGTATTCAGACCTTGGACCTCTTCTCACTCTCTTGACTTACTCCTTTAGTGGTCTCATACAATCTCATAGGTTTAAATAACATATGCATGGTAATAATGTCAAAATTTACGTTTTCAGCTCAGAGCTCTTCCCTGTACTCTAGAATTGTGTATCTAACTGCCTACTTCATCTCTGCTTGGGTATCTTGTAGATACCTCAAACGGAGCACATCTGAAATTGAATTCCTGATCTCTGTCACACACACACACACTTTATTTTTCTCAGTAGGACTTAGCACCTTCAAATACTATATATTATTTTATTGTTTGTCTCCCTCAAATATAATGTGAACTCTATGAGGGTAGCCATATCCCCAGTGCGAGAATGGAGCACATAGTAGGCACTGTACAAGTATTTGTTAGGGGCCGGGCATGGTGGCTCACATCTGTAATCCTAGCACTCTGGGAGGCCAAGGTGGGAGGATCGCTTGAACTCAGGAGTTCAAGACCAGCCTGAGCTAGAGCAAGACCCCGTCTCTATTAAAAAAAAAAAAATTAGCTGGGCGTGGTGGCATGTGTCTGTAATCCCAGCTGCTTGGATGGCTGAGGCAGGAGAATTGCTTGATCCCAGGACTTTGAGGTTGTGAGCTAGGCTGACGCCACAGCACTCTAGCCCAGGTGACAAAGCAAGACTCCGTCTCAAAAAAAAGTGTTAGGCACACAGTAAGTATTAATATTTGTTGAATGAGTGAATGAATGAAAAATTGAGTTATCTCTATGTGTAGATATATCAGTGTGTAAGCTTTTCTGACAGGCAAAAGAAAAGGGGATAAAGGTTCTTTACTGTAACTTCAAAAGTAATGGATAGATAAAAAATAGTGTATCTGGAAAAACAGAACTAAATTTATTCTCTAAAGAGACTTAAAAAATAATGAACAAGGAAAAATTTGAAGCAATTCTGGTATTCAAATCTTTTCCATTGTTGTGAATATTAAGGGACGATAGATTTAAGAAGAAAAATATTTGATAATTTTATTATTGGTCTTTTCATATTTTCAGAAATGTGCATCTAGTAGTATATATCTGTTAATCATTTTATTTGGGGAGTCCACTTTAGTTATTCTACTACTTTGATAATATTTACTTAGTGATTGCTATTTTGGCAATAGGATTTTTGGTATTTCAAAATAGTTTTTCCTGTTAAATTTTTTTTTTTTTGAGACAGAGTCTCATTCTGTTGCCCTGGCTAGAGTGAGTGCCGTGGCGTCAGCCTAGCTCACAGCAACCTCAAACTCCTGGGCTCAAGCGATCCTACTGCCTCAGCCTCTCGAGTAGCTGGGACTACAGACATGCGCCACCATGCCCGGCGAATTTTTTTCTATATATTTTTAGTTTCTTTCTATTTTTTTTTTTTTAGTAGAGACGGGGTCTCGCTCTTGCTCAGGCTGGTCTCGAACTCCTGAGCTCAAACAATCCGCCCGCCTGGGCCTCCCAGAGAGCTAGGATTACAGGCGTGAGCCACCGCGCCCGGCCCTGTTAAATTTTTTTGACATTGCTCTAGGTTAAAAGTGAAGACAAATTGTGAAGTGGAAGAATACTTTTTATGAATTGATGTACAAATAAAAATCAGCAAACTAGGATGTGTTAGAAGGATTCAGCATATACACTAAAAGACAAAATAAGTGTGATGCTTTTCCCATGTTTGCTTTTGAGATCTTGGCCTAAATCTTAAGTTATAGTCCAGAGAAAGAGTGTGTTTTTAAGCATTCATTGAAAGCATTCCAAATCTCAAAAGAGTTCCGTCAACTTACATTTCCTCTGAGGAGCACTGTTTATGCCAGAATTGAGTTCTAGTTCTGCAGGAGTAGAAATAGTATGGGCAGCGTCTTCCTGACTCTGGTATTTTAGCTAGACTAATTGACCTTAGTTCCGAAGTGCCTCCTGAATGCTCATAGATATTCAGGTTTTAGTCCAGTGTGGTGTTGCTGTCACCCTAGAAGGGAAGAGGTAGGTACTCTTAACAATTGGTGACACCACTCCTATCCCCCATGTTTGGTAAAGGAAGGCCAGGCAAGCTGGGAAAATTCTGGAGAATCCAGGAGGAATTTGAATTTCCCTAATATTCTTTAGGAATCCATTGTAATTTTTAGAGGGGCTTGTGAACTGACTTTATATCTATCTCTTTCTCTCATTGCCAGGGTTTCAAAGGCTGAACAGATTTATTGTGGTGAAAGTGGACTACCTTGGATCTCTTCTTATTTCTAGATAGTCCCAGGATTCCTTTAAGTTTTAGGGAGATTTGGAGATCCCATTTGCTAAGCTGTGCCTGTTGATCTGGGCGCTTTGGTCATAGATTACCTCATTTAGCCTGTAGCTCATTTTTTAAAAGAATATTAGAATAATTGGCATATTCTTGAAGGAAAGATAATATTTAGGAGT